TGCTGTAACAACTGTTCTATGCTCTGGAAACATGTTAGGTTAACTATTCTGTGATCAAAAAATTAATAACAAGATTTTTTTGTTGTTGTTGTAAAGTACAAATGTAATTTTTCCAGGCAGCTCTTTGACACTGAGGTTGAACCTTATAATTTAAACTGAGCCTCCCAATTAAAACTCAGACACTTGTGAATCTTTCATTTGCGCTTCAGGGAGGAAAGGAAATAACTAGTAGAACACTTATTATTATCTCCAGATGCAGCTTTAAAACTTATAGAAAATTTTGCTGCTCAGGTACAAGTTAGGATCAGACTTTACAAGTTATAAAGAGATATAGGTGTACTGAAGCAGCTGATCCAGAACCAGGATGCCATTGCTGTCCTCAGGGACAGAGCACATCACCCCAGTAGCCAGGACAGCATTTTAAGGGTATTCGCTTGATTCATATGCACTTTGTACTTTTCAAATATGGGAGCAACTGATGAAATTAAATGAAAGACATCTGTTACCAGCTTCAATGACAAAACTCCCTTGCTATAAAATTAGTTTCCCGAGAGTGAAGAACATGTTGTTACTGCTGTTATTAATATTTGCATAGCTGTCAGAAGCCCAAGCTTTATGATTGCTTACTACTTCAGGGACCACCAACCATTATTTGAGGTTCTGGCTACAGCCTGAGTTAATGCTTTTCAATAAGTGATACAGCCTTCAAATTTCATTACCAGTGGAGTCTGAATTACACCTACTCTGAAAATAAATAAAAATGACCAGAAACAAGTTATGGGTCTTTGCCACATATTCTGTTCAGAAACCTATGGTATTTAATACAACAGCATTTTCTCATGGAGCCCTGTTTAACAGATATATAAGACATGGTACACCTAAAGTGTTGGGACTATCAAAGAGTCAAATAATGATGGTAAACTGGATGATAGATTATGTCCTCTTACTTGGACACTTTAAACCCCTAATAACAAAGATACATTATACCCACTTCCTCTGAAAAGATGTATAAACTACTGTTGCCTATGTAAATCTGGACCACCTAAGTTTAAGCATCTGTATTCATTCCTGTTTTCCAGTCAACTTGGCATTAGAGGAAATGGAGAAAAAGTGTGGTCTAAACTGTTCCAATAATTCAAAAGGAAAATATCCAATATTTGTGTGCCAGCATATAGGTACTACACACTCCTGAGAAAAGCTGGTAGCTGTCCATGTTACAGCCGATAACAGGTCTATTTGTGGAAACAGCTCTAAGCTGAAGATGTCCTATATTACCATCTTCCTAATGATCCCTTATGCAACTAAGTCACATTTCTGCTTCTCTTTTGATGCTGAGGAAGAAGAGATCTTATAGCTAAATAAAATGCTTTTAGCATCAGGAAATTTAAATGCAGTGTTTTCCCTGGGGGTTGCAGAGCTCTCTTACTGACTGAGCATCCAGCAGTGTGCCTGTAGCCATTATGGGCAGAAGAAGGGTGCTGACTAATGGGAACCTAGAGTACAAATTTATAAGGAGAGCAGGACTTCATCTGAAATGGAAAATTTCCTACATAGCTTCTATGATTGGCAAGTAATCCACTGCTATCTAGTGCTGAAGAACTTGTAACCTGAGGTCATTAGGCTCACCAGTCACAAAAAATAAAATAGGTCACTGGGTAGTTGCTGGTGAGGAGTTATCACAGATGAGCACACCTTCAAAGTCAGGAAATCATATTTCAAAAAAGAATATTTTTTGCTAGAATCACTAGGGAATTATTAAGGTGTAGGAAAAACACTCCAAGCTTGCTGAATAGGTAACATGCATAATAAAAGTAGTTGGGGAAGCAACTGTGAGCCATTGATCCCAGTAGACAATCACCTGCTGTTGGAACAGACAGTTTTTCCTTCTAGTCATGAAAATCTTGAAGAGAACTTAATGCAAAAACACAGACAATATAGGTGACTTTGAAAGAAAATGAAACCAAAAGTCCTGTATAATGAGTGCTGTTCCTTCTCCTGTAGAAAATGAAATGGTAAGCGCAGCAACTCCAGCCCCCAAACCTTCCCAATGAAAGACACGAGCAATCTTTGCCCCAGTGCCAGCATAACAGGAGGGTGGTGAAATGAATATTTCGATACAGCTTGAAGTATCAGTTACAGGGGAAGTAAGGTCACTATTCCTGCTTCCTAAGGAACTCATTCTTTATACAACCTATTCTTGACAAGTCACGGTGAGTAGTCTAAGTACAGGAGACGGGTACCCAAATTGTATTTGAAAAATGCGTGATGTGCTGAAGTGAGTATTTAGTCCTCTACAAAAGTGTTATGTAAAAGGCATGTGCCCAATTTCATGTTGCTATCTTACTTATTCCTATGAACAGAGTGCCTTGCAAGGAAGCCACAGTAATTTCCTTAGCTCTAACAGGATTAAATGAAACATTTCAGTACCAGGTTGATATAAAATATCACTACATTTTTAACCAACATGATCTGAGCAATGCAGCATGACTGCATTAGTGGAAATAACTACAGTGCAGACAGCTCGGTGTCTAAGGCCATTTATGCACAGGCCAGCTTCTGTGACACCCAAAGCCCTGTACTATTAGAACACAGAGCTAAGTCTCTAGTCACCACAGAAAGGCAACGATGGCTAATTCAGGAAACTACATTCTAGAGCACTTGAAAATTAATTCAGAGACTAGCAGAGTTTCCCATTCCAAACCCAAACTCATATTCATCACAAACATCTTCACTCTCCTGAAGACTCCTTTCATCAGTGTAACAGTTACATTGTTTTTGTAAGGATTATCATCCTTTAAATGGACTCTAATACAGTAACGGACTGATATCAACCACTTTTGCATACTGTGAAAGTGAAATCTGTTTTTCTAAGAGATGTCCATGTTGAAGATTATATATGTTAGAATTGTGAGCCCATTTTGTACTGGCCTTGGAAACTTCAGCCTCTGGTTATGGATGGACACTAAGGGATGACTAAGGCATAGAAAAGCTTGTGTATTTTTAAAATTTCTTTTATATAGAGAATCGCGAAGTTAACATATAAAACTAAAACTGTTTTCTCTGAAAACCTCCCTGCTCCATTTATCATGTGAGGATTTAATCTATTGCTAGAGCAGCAAATATAAGAATCTATATGGATAATGTGAACTTCAGATACTTCCCTGGAAAAGAACAAATCACAACATAAAAAAGTGGAGAGCTAAATAATAATCCTGATGATTTAGGAAGGCAAACACATAGTACAGTACCAACATCCTTAAACACTTTCCATATTTGGACCTTAGCATTTCTTTTCCACTGCATAAAAGTGAAGTGACTTATCCTCTAGATGGAAGAAGTTTTATGGAAAATTAGCAGGAAAGGAAGGGAATGTAATAATCAGGCACTATCATCTGAGACAGAACTGCCTAGACTCATGAATTTCAATGTGCCTCAGAAATTTAAAAAAAAAAATAAATTAAAAACTGTGTAAATGTGGCAGATAAGGGAAAGTCTGATTAAAAAGAAAAAGGAAAGAAGGGATGTAACCAATGATCAGGGAAACCCTTTATCATACATAAAAACTTGTTAGCATGAAGGTGTTACACTGGAGTAGAAACAGCACAAGAAGGAGCAGCAATCTCTCAACATCTGACAATGTTGTGCATCTCAGAAATACATCAGCTTAATAATGTTTGCCTTACAATGATGATACAGGCACCTTCCAATCTTAAAGGTGAAAGGAGTGTGCAATGCATTTACAGCTTAAATTGCTTCATAGCTTTTTTTCAGGAAGACTGTTTGACAATTCAAGTTGTTCTATACTTAGCCTTAAAAAGTGGGATTGGTGAGTGTAAAAAGTACTCCTAATAGGAGGAGTAGAAAAAACAGTTAACCTTCAGGGGGTTTGTATAAAACAGTACATGCCTAAGTGTTAGTAAGTTGTACAAATTAATTCTTCGACACTGTATAACACATATTTAGAGTTAACATTCATATATGATTAAGAAAGGTCTAGCTTTGTGTAGCACAGGAATAATATTTCTCTGCCAGTTTACTTAGAAGATGACTGCTTTGATCTAGGGGGTTCCTCAGTAGATAACTTCATATATGTAAAAATATTTATGAAACATGCTCTGTATTTCATAAAAATGGGGTGGGGGGAGGTAGGGGGGTGTTGAGGGGTATCCACTGAAATGAAAATCTGCACAATATTTGTAATTATGGTTAGCTGGCACGTCTTTTCAGCTTGTTCCAGTTTCCTGAGGAAATCACTAGGAGTTATGAATTTGTATTACCATTTTAACTATTTAAATTTTAAGAATGAATTCTGTAAGGGAGCTATAGCCAAAATCTGGTCATCCACATAAAGGGTTTCTTGACTGGTGCAGGGGCTGAAGTATTTACAAATGGAGCTATAATAAATGCAACTATAAACATCACTGAAACTTGGGGAGGGGCAGGGGGGGGAAGACACAACACAAGTAACCTCAGCCATCAATGCATTGATTTTTTTTTTTCAGTCTGCCACCGCACAGTATCTCACTAGTCCAGAAAATACTCAGTGAAATTTATTCCAATGAAGTCAAAAAAATATATAAATTCTAACCGAATATACTTAGTGTTAACTGAAGTTTGTAATACTGCAGTATGATGTAGACATTCAACCTTTAAAAAAACTAGAGGCTAAGAAAGCTAATGATTAATGAAGGATTACGCTCAAATATCTAGATACATACATACATATTTGTATTCCTTCTTTTATGCATACATCTAAAGGCATAAACACAGATTACAAATAAACATTTATGCTCAATAATTTTAATTTCAGCTTTTAAAATGTGCAGTATTAAGTCTGATTCACTCTCAAAAGCAAAAGCATCATAATATAATTCTTATACACCAAAAATACAGCATGCAAAATAATACTATTTTTATACCTTCTGTATGAGTGACAACATGAAATTCAACGTAAAGCTAAGATGTCAACATATCTATAAGCACAAAACAGTCATACTAACCTGTATTTTGATTGGCCAGGAGAAATTGCTGACATAAACATAGAAAGTGATGTTTGGGTTGCTCCGAAAGTTAAATTTTTCACAGGAAAAGCTATCTCTGTATTCCTTAATACTAGCCTTAGAAACAACAGGAATCTCTTCTCCAGATATTGTTCCAGCTAAAAAAAATCCAACATATATATGACATCTATAAATCATCATTAACTGTGCCAAAGTAAATTTGCAAAACAACTTAAATTCTGTAACTTTAATAATCTGCCATGTAAACCCTTTATTACGGTTTACATGGCACATTAGGTATATTTCATATACATACTGAGAATTCATAGAAACTCTTACAAAAATATTATGCATGAATCACAAAAGTGATAGAAGTCACATGAATTTTAGGAGATAGGTTTCATGGTCAGCTAAACAGATAATATGATTTCCTCTAGTAATTTAAATTCCATTTCAATAAAAACTCATAGCTTAATAAAGCCTAAACGTAAATTTGTCTACATCTTACTGTATTGGTGTAGAGTTTTCATTGTTCATGAAAGCTTTAATGACATACCTACTAATAACATGTAATTTTTTTTGCAAATAAATGTGCTAAGTTAAAATAAAGGAATCACTGCAACTTACTACATTATGCTAAAATACTTCCAAATTACATTGATTAAGAAATCAATAAATTTACGTAAGACAAACTCTAAATCTTCTTTGATTTTTTTTTCCCCCAGTAAGATTTCATTTTAGGCATTATGCTTCTCCTTGGATGTGTTTTCAGAAAGTCAATAGAACAAATTCATGGAAACTGTCTAAATAAAGCCTTTCTCCCTTCTTAAAACAAAGAAGAGTAATGAGGTTGAAAGTTGGAGAAAAATAGATAAGCAGCTCTTTTTATCAGCATACACAGAAGAACTTTATTGTTTGATATCAATGTTAAGGTTAATAATTAAATTTTTGGCTTGAACACTGAAACAAAGAAATAAAATCTCAGTCTCTGCAGTAGTTAAGGAAGCAATTTATCTTAATTAAAATCACAGCATTTCATAACACTCTCATTTTAAAAATTTAAATGGACTACAAGCTTTTCCTACCAAAGTAATTTTAATTGAATAGGAGAGAAAGTTAACATATTAATGAAGCTTTGTTCAGATTGCAAAATATCATCTGAGGTTTAAATAATATAATTAATAATAGCATGATGATAATTGGAAAAGAAAACATTTGGTAAAGTTTTAGTATCAAAATTAGCAACAAAGTGGCAGTCAGGTTAAAAGAGCTCAATGGATAATGAAACTCCACGGGAAAGTCCTCATAACAAATTTCACCCTCACCTGTAGAACCAATAGACCATGTAATATTGAGGTTGAAGTTGTTTGATGCATTAATTGATATATCCAAATTCTTATTTGACTAAATAAAAAAAAAAAAAGAAAATATATTTAAGTTAACAATATATATCACAATGTATTGAATATAACTCTATTGCAGATAACTGAACATAGACTTTCAATAATCTTCCATTTTTCCTTTTAAACATCATTATAAATGGTAATAATTTGGAGCAAAAGGCAATCCTTTCTTTTGCTTCAACAAGAACAGGGTGCAAGTAAGCACATTGGTTCTTTTCAGATTGTGAAAAAAAAATAATGAAATAATTTTATTGATAAAACTTAAGAAAAAACAGAAGGCAGATGGCTACATTTTAATTACAATGCAAAAAAAATACTTTTCTTATCTGCTAATGAAGATGTTATAACTGAAGGGTATACACCTTTAATTGATCTCAAGAAGACACTAAAACTTGTTATTTATGAAAACAACAATAAAATAAACTAGCCTATGATCTTTTAGAGGTTAGTCAATCTGAAGTACATCTACCACTTAAGAAACTTTTCTCAGTGAATCCACTGGAATAATTTTCAGTTCTTAAAAAGATCTGAAATATCTTCTGTACCTTACAGATTCTTGAAAGACTTTTAATCATGGTCAAATACAATGGAAAACTTAACCATGACTTTCCAAACCTTGTCTAAAGTCAGTAACATTTTGTTACCTGTTCTGGATTTGCTATAAAGTTTATGGCAGTGTGATGGCGATCATCCTCTTGTAGCAAGCTGAAGGTAAACTGGTAATCTATCAAAAGGCTGTCTGTGGACAAAACAGAAAATGAAAATAATAAAATAGATTCAACAGTATACATATTAATAAAATGTTATGAAAGCACCTAAAAATTTACTATTCACTCTTTATTTTTAGAAGCATGGAGTAATCTACAGGTTAGAATTCACATGCATTTCACTATTTAAGTATTTGAGCTATCATGTCCACAAGTAATTTTGAAAAAAATAATCAAGTAGGAGCACAATAAATTAAGAAAAAGAACTAAATTAAGAAACAGATCCTATCATGAAGCCAGAGCAGCATTTACACATAACTTGAAATAGTAATTTTTTCTAAAGTAATTATTCCAAAATACAATATCAAGTATTGTTAGAGTATTATCAGTTCCCTAATCTTACTCTGAAATAATTATTGAAATATTCTGTCCAAAATGCATTCAAATGTTTTAGTTTTACAGTCACACACTTCACTGTGTTGTACAAATTGTTTACCTAGCTACATTACTATAATACACTTTAGAATTCCTAGGTCTAAAAATTTTGGAAAAAAGTTGCATCTACAGTAAAACTATATAGCATAAAGTTATGATACTATAGTCAATAATGTTGCTAATAATAAAGTGGCACAGTGAAATTTCAAATTGAAATTATGTGACCACAAAACACATTCTTTCTAAATTTCCAGAATTCTAAGAGATTTTCTAAGTGGCAAGAGATGTAAACTTTTCATACAAGGATAACAAGTGGCAGTTTAGTATTGACTCAAAAAATGTTATTTTCACTTCCAAATGGCATTTGTTTTGCATATTTTTCTTTCAGTCTGTGAAAGGAATGGAGTCTGCCAGGCAGTTCCTGTCACTGCACAATAACAGCTCTCCCCTGATGGTCAGCTAAAGTTGGCAAAGGTGCAGAAGGGAGACAGGGCTATGCTCAGGTGATCCAAACCATGCTTAACCCTTCCTGGAAGGAGCATAAGATGACTGGGACAAGTTGGAAGGCATAAGCTTTGACCTATTCCATTGTGTTCCTCAAGTTGGAGGAATGACATTAACTTTTAGTTGGGTCATAACACTAGGAAAGACTGTAAAGGATGAGGTGGATTTGTCAGGGTTTCCAGCAGGTTTCTGGGACCTCCATAATGTAAGAAAAAGACCCAATGACCAGGGATGCCTGTTGCTGCAATTCATAGAGGGTGCCACACAGAATCCCAGCAAGCAGTGCTCAGTGCAGTGAGATAGGCAGTCAGCAGGGCCCTCAGAGCCATAAACTGTGTTAGCAGATTAATGATCTTTGTAACAGTCAGTTGTGAACCAGAGGTGGGTGCAGTGAATGCATCTTGAATGCTCTGTTACCGTGGCAGGTATCTTCAGATCTAACAGAATAAATCTTCCAACTCTTTGACCATTACAGTTTAACAAGGATCAAAGGATTCTGTTTTTTCCTCTGTCACAGGAAATAAGGAGGTGACTTGTAAGCATACATTATTCAGATGATTATTTTGTGTATGTTAAAATATGGTTAGATGCAAGTCATCTTTGATGCTACATCCTAGTGAATAACTTTGAAGCCCTGTTTTGATCCCTGTCTTGATGACATTCTACTAGTCACCAACACCACACAAAGTGTTATAAATAAATTAAAAAAAAGTGATCATAAAAATAAAATCAGTAAATGCAGAGAAAGAAAAAGTCAAAGCAGGAAAAGGTTGTGTCAGCCTTTTGTCAGACTCAGTAGTTCGCTTACTGCCGACAAAGACATCATCTGAAAAAATACAATCAATTGTATCCCATGGGAAGCCTGACACAGAAGGAGAAAAAAAGCTTATTGGTCAATGAAGCATGAATACAGCCCACTGTATTGTCTTAATAGTTCAAGGAAATGTTTTTGGATGTGGTTTGTTTGGGGTTTTTTTAACACAAAGTGTGGAAACAAAATTAGAAAATAAAGGAGTTACATGAAAGGAATCATCATGACCTTTGAAGCTGAAAAGTCCATTTTCTTTATGATTAGCCACCACAGTTCCATTACTCAAATAAGTTGATCTAGATGTCTCAGGTAATGAGTTTTGATCAGGTTTTTGCAAGCTTATGAATGGAAAAGAATTATTAATATTAAAAGGCCCCATTTATTTATTAATAATACCCCACACTTCTATAACTATGCAAATCTGACTAACAAAGTCTCATTGACTCTTAGTAACACTGTGCCATATCTACATATTTGACAGGAAGATTACCATTGCATCAGAACATATTTAAAGGTAGCAGGACAGCCAAAGATGGCAATTAGAGATTGACTTGTATTAAAGGTATTCATAAGCCCTTTAAAAAACTATGAGTAGCAAGGCCAAAAGGCAAGGAATAACATACAGATATGCTAAATCTCCTGGTCTGGTCAACTTCTTCTCAGAAGCAAGTAATGATAGAACAAGAAGGAATGGTTTCAAGCTGCTCCAGGGGAGGCTTAGACTGGACATCAGGACTGAAAGGGCTTCCTGGCATTGGAACATACTGCCCAGGGAGGTGGCCAAGTCACAATCCCTGGATGTGTTTAAAAGCTGTGTAGATGTAGCCTGGGGATATGATCTAGAGGTGGATTTGGTAGAGTAGGGTTAATGGCTGGACTCGATCTTAAGAGTTCCTTTCCAACTAAAGTGATTCTATGATTCTGAGTTGAGGTCCCATGAAATACAAATTACTGCTTTAGCACAAATCTTCGCAGACAGAGTTATTGTAAATGTATGGTGGACTAGCACCACAGCACACACTCCTACAGAAATTCAGGCTACTGCAAAGGCTACAAGATGCAAAAAGCAGTATAGACAGGCCTTCTGAACAAGATATTTTTGATTTGCTCACAATACATGGAAAATGATCATTTTAAAATGCTATATAGTCATCTTCTAAGCCCAGAATGAGCTCTCTCAAAGATGCAGAATATCAGCCAAAGACCAGGAGTGATATACATTTAAAATCTCATCATAAGGCAAAATTGAAAATAGATATGGAGCTCTTTTCCCCCAGTCAAATCTGTCGTGGCTACAGAGTGGATGCTGCAAAGCGAAGAGATACATCTTTTCACAGATGATTCTAATTCAGGAGGATACCTAAAGTATTCCTTCCTGACTTGAAAGAAGTGGAGAGCACTGCATAATACAGTTATGTGATTCAACAGTGCAAATGAAAGAGCTGACACAGAGCAAACACACCTCCCCATCTTTCTGAGGACTGAAAAAAATATGCTGAAGAAGTTTCACAGCTTGGAGGAAGGTTTATTTTCATAGTGAGTATACTTCTGATCGGCGAAAACTTTGAGAGAGATATGCCTGGACCTGTTCTTAAATTGAACATCCCAACTCTCTGGAAGGATGTAAAGCTAGATTTTATTAGAGTACAAATTAGTGGAATGAATTTAAGAGAAAAGTCAAAGTCAGAGCAAAGAGGGACTGTAAAAGAAGTCTCTTCTCCATCTACTGCATCCTGCTGCTGTCTGTCTTTCCTTCCTTCCTCTCTCCATCTCTTTCAGCCTATACCACAGAAGAGGCTTCTCCCACATTTATTCAGCTCCTCTCATGGAAAATATCACCTCACTCTCCTCCAGAAGATTTCACCTTCTACAGACTGCAGCAGGCAGAACAGCTCTCCTTCCTACTGCCAAGCCCCATCCTGAACATAACTCTGGAACATAACCTATGCCAATAACTAAGTGCATAGGAAGTGCACCTAAACTAACTAAGCAATTATGCAGTACATCCCACTGTACTTCCCAACTCAGTGTCATTCAGTTTAGACAGAAATACAATACAAAACTTAAAGTAAAAATAGACCAGTTCTGAATACTTAAATTTATAAATAACCAAATATATAATAAATAAATGTAGAAATAGCTATTTCAAGTACATTCAGTATATCCTGTTGATGTATATTGTGTATATTTACAATCGGGAATTCAGAGAAGCCTGAGATTTTACTCCATGTATCCTTGTTTCCACTTTAAACCTTTCAAAAGCCACTATAAGTATTTTTTCCTTTACATAAACACATGACTTTTCATAAGTGCCTCTGTTTATAAAGACACACACAGAACAGCTTGCTTCAATTAGGAAAGAAATTTGGATCCCATGTAAACAGAAACTAAAAAAACCTCACCGCATTTATATTGTAGCATAGGATAATGAGAGCACAAAGATAACAAATACTAAACAGAATCATCAAACTGCTATATGAGCACCAATAGATAAAAGCTCATATAGCTAATTTTAATCTATCTGACTTATAGAAACAATTTGAAAACTGTTTTCAAAATCTGGTGACCTCTGACTAAATTCAAACAACACAACTTCTGCAAGAGACAGCACTCAAAATATTATCAATGACCATTAACATCCAAAACTTAAATATACAAACATATAATTATTTCAGTAAAATATAGAACGGTTTGCTTGATTCTCTAGAATTGCCATCAATGCACTCTGTGGTTCATTTTGGTGATTCTTTTTCTGTAAGAATTTTAAAAATCTAAAATATGAATCTCACTTTTTCCAAAACATATCTCCTCAATGTAAATTTCATTCTCAAATCATTTTAAATTCACAAAATGTCAATTAACTATAATGATTTTCCAAAGAGGCTATGTAGTTAACTATCTTGAGCACAGCATGGACTCTTAACTATGGAAAAATTGTTAAGGACATTTCAGGATCAGTGTTGCATTCTTTTATTTTTAAAAAACTTAGTTGAAAAGGAACTTACCAAAAACACACAGGTTTTTTTTTTAATAATTGCTTGTTCTTCTACATATCCCCAATCTTTTAGAAATAGGCAGAAGACAGTTTCATCTTAGTTTTGGATTCTCTCAGTTAAATCTCAATATGCAGCATTTCAATTTTTTTATGCCATCAATATCCTCAATGTTTAAACTTCCCACTTAATATGTTTGGAACAAATATCTTCTTTAAAGAACTAGTATTCAGAGTTTCTTTACACCCATGGGCAAGGGCAAGAGACAAACACTATCACACTACAACAG